TGCGCTACTCTGGACAGAGAGTTCCTTTACTATATCCAGCTGTGTCTTACTATCAGATGCTGGCAATGTGATACAGTGAATTTAAAGTACAGTTAAAGTACAGAAGACGGTAAAAAAAATGATAACCAAAAACAAAATACAGAAAGATTAAATCGGGTGTTATTCATAAATAAAATGAGAAATGTTTGTTTATAAATGTTGATCAAGAGACTGAAAAATCAAATATATTCAATAGTAAAGAGATTGTGTAAACGATTAATATACCATACCATTGTGATAAAGTTTTAGTTTTCAGTCAAAAAGCCAAAAAGAATTGAAATATTTATCCTTAATGAATTTATCAATGAAAGTCATGTAGTTGAATTACAAAAGAGCTAAATTGAAAGAAATGAAATATTACATGTGCAAATCAATGAATTGAAGTCAGGTAGATATATTTCAAGAATTCTAAACTAAACAAAAAAAAACCAACATAAAATTAAAATGTTCATTTCAACTAAAAGTCAAAAAGCGTTGAATTTTAAGAGCAGCTAAATCGGGAGTCAATTGGAGAATTCATTTTACATATCAAAGACCATACAAGACAAGGAGTTGAATTTCACGAGTGGCTAAATCAAGAAAATATCAAATATACATGCAAATTTTGAAAGACGAGGAGCCGAATTTCAATAACCATATTAAACAAATCAAAATTTTGAATTTTGTAATATGCATATCAATGAAAATAGAGGATTTGAAATTTAAGAGTGGCTTAATCACGAGAAATAAAACATATTGATGTGCACTGAAAATGTCAAATTATTTGTCAATTTATGAAAATAGTGAAAATATTTGATGTGCATATTATTGTGCATAAATGATTTTATTCATTTGCACTCTTTGTAAGTTATAATTCCCTACTTTAATATTGTTGAAGGTTGGTTCTCTTAGTTTGAAATATTTGTGTGAAAAGCTGCTTTATTTATTTTTTTCATCAGAGCACATAACACATATCACCCAAATATGTATCAGTGACCTCAACTCATTTTAACAGTAAATTGTTGATCCTTACATCGTGCGTTCGAATCCCACTATGGGACGTGGCGACCGGTCCTTCAGATGAGAACATATAAATCGAGGTCCTTTGTCGCAGTATGTACTGGCACAAAAAAGATCCATCACTGATCAATGGCCGTAAAGTGCCGAGTATAGGGCAAAATTTGCAGCTCTACATTGGCAAGTGGTGATGCCTAGTCATATGAGTAAAAATTCTCGAGAGGGATGTTAAACAACGTACAAATAATACCATCAACTCGTAGCAGTACTTTCAGTACTTTGATTATGTTCATGGCGGCAAGCACATGGTGCGACTTAACCCTCACATCTTTGCGAGAATAAGGCACAAGGAGGTAAACGAGTTTATGTTGTATGTGTATTTTTGCATATTCAATCTGTAATCAATTTTCTTTGTATTGAATCTGTGTAATTGTTATTGTTACAGTTTCACGGTGAAGTTTGGTATCTTGTGACACTGCGGCGGGTATACCCGTATTTTGCTTTGAATTAAACTTCATCAGTTAAAACCTAAGTAAACCTTATTTTATCTACAAGAGGGCCGGTCCATAACCGCACATCTCTGCCGTAACAGTGAAACTCCTTCCCAGGATCGTAAAACGGTGAGTGTGACCTATGGAAGCCTAGAGACGCCATTACCGTTGTATTGACTTTACAGTATCTGCGACACATGATTTTTCTGTGATGATGTGCAACTGTGAACGGAACATTTGCGATTAATATTGATGACATTAACTGTTTGAGAATTGTATGGTGGCACATTCGCGTTATAAAGTGACAATTTTAATATTACAATACATAACATATTTGTGACTGTGTGTTAGTAAACAGTGTGCTTTTAATTGATTAATGCCATTGATAAGTGTGAGGTATTTACTGTAAACCAACTTTTATTCGCGTGCGAGAAATTTTCGCGAAGTTCGCGAGAAGCTCTTCATCGCGAATATTTCTTGCCGCAAACCGTCATTATAGTATATTTTTCTATTAAAAACAGATGCAAAATGGCTTGATCGCGAAAATTAATCTTTAGTGCGCGAAATAAAGTCGTCGCAAATAAAAGTTGGTTTACAGTATTATATCTGTGCATATGAACTATTATCAAGACTGTGCTCTAGATTGGAACTGTATTGACTCTTGTTGCAAATGTTGATTTGTATTTAATATGTATACATGTTCATGTATTTACCTTGTGTGCTAGGGGAAGGTTCTGATATTTTATTGCAATATTTTATCACATAGTCAATAGGTAACATTTTATTGTATCTAAGTTTAGACCCCCTAACTGTGTTACAAATATGTCGAACGAAGAGATGTCCTATACAGATGCACTTTCATCTATCCCCCCTGAAACAAAGGAAGACAGGAACACAGGTAACAACAAGGAAAATGCTAAAACAACTTCTGAGGAAATGTCTAAGGACTCCGGACAAGCAAGCCAGAGCAATACATTAAATATGCGTGAGCGGAAGATGACCACGAAAGGTTTGGAATGGCAAGTTGATCAGATATGCTCAGACTTTAAGCTCAAAGCTTCAGGATGGCGGAAGTGTGCAGCTTCTATTGAAGTTCTTATTTCGGATTCGAAGGATACCTCTGCTATCAGACAAGAAAGAGACGTTCTTATTAGTATTACGACTAGTCTGAATGAAATCATTGAAAGACTGAAACAAACACTTACAAATGAAGAAGACGAGAAGTACAGAAATTTAGTTGATCAATACCAGGGAAGGATCGAGATTATTCTAGGAGATAATCACACATTGATGAGGGACATTACAAATTGCTTGAGAGAATTAGAGTTTGACTCTGTCTCCAGGATTTCAGGTAGATCGCACAGCAGTCGTACATCAAGGTCAACGAGGGTTTCCAATACCTCCAGAAGTTCCAGGAAGTCAGTAGATACAGTCATGGAGGCAGCGGCGCTGAAGACAAAGCTGAAGTACATTGATGCAGAGGCGAAACACAAGGCAGACCTTGAAAGAATTAGAACACAGAAGGAGCTTGATATAGCGCAGGCTAAGTTAGAAGCACTTGAGACTTTGGAAGGTAATGAACCATTCCTGTACAGTGACTTTAAACATTCGATTCCAGAGCTTGACTCCAAGGAGCGTGTTAAAAGATTCATTGATACTCAGGTCAGGCCATCAGCGGAGAAGGTCAAGATAGAAACAGTATCGGAAGTACCACCGATTTTGCATAGGAACCCCATTCCTCCAGTATTCACTCCTCACACACAACAGGAATATGTCGCCACTAGTACATGTACCGCTTCAAGAGTTCCCTTAAGTAACATAGACTTGCAGTCACTTAGCAATCCTACACCGCCTAGTAAAGATGACAAACAAATAGAGCAAGGCTTATTGGATCTGGCTACTTCACTAGCGAAGCAAGTGAGTCTTAGTCGTTTACCCCCTCCTGATCCAACCATTTTCCTAGGAGATCCGCTGAAGTACCCAAGTTGGAAGGCATCATTTCAGACACTCATTGAACAACGTCAGATTCCAGCTTCGGAAAGGATTCATTATTTGAAGAAGTATCTGGGTGGATCAGTAAAAGATGTCATAGAGAACTATTTTCTGTTATCGACGGATGATGCATATGAAGAAGCTAAAGGACTGCTAGACCAAAGATATGGTAACCCATTCATTGTTGCCAATGCGTTCCGCGACAAACTGGATAAATGGACAAAGATAAGCTCGAGAGATGGTGTTGGACTGCAGCGATTTGGTGATTTTCTCAAGCAGTGTTATACGGCCATGCAGAGTATTGGAAGCTTGAACATTCTCAATGATGACAGAGAGAACAGAAAACTGCTGAGCAAACTTCCAGACTGGCTTGTGACAAGATGGGGTAGGATCGCCACACAGTATAGAGAAGAAAGAATGGAATTTCCACCATTCAAGAATTTCATGGAATTTATCGTGAAAGAAGCCAAGATTGCGACAGACCCTATTACCTCTATAGAGTCTGTAAAGAAGTCTGAACTCACCCAATCAGAGCCGAGCATACCACGACCTGATGTCAGGGTACGACAGCGAGGTGCAGCTGATTATGGAAAACGATCTTTCCTGACAGACGTTGACGAGAATCAGCAAGCAAATGTGAACGTAGCAAATAAAAGTGACAGAGTGAGAAACTGTGTTTTGTGTGAAGGGAATCATGAACTAGATGACTGTAAAAATTTCTTAGCGAAGAGTCTGGAAGGAAGAAAACAGTACGCAAAGCAGAAAGGTCTGTGTTTCGGGTGTTTACATTCGGGTCATCTATCAAGGAAGTGTCGTCAGAGGAAAAGATGCAAAACTTGTTCCAAGTTTCACCCCAAATCTTTACACGGGGACATCTATAGACGAGAACAGAACCAGGTTACAGAGGACATGGATAAGGCAGCAGTGTTAAAGGAGAGCTCAACGGGGACTACACTTATGAATCACTCTGGAGCATCTAGCAAAAGTACCATGATACTTCCAGTTTATGTGTCACACAAAGGAAACCCAGATAAAGAGAGGTTAGTTTATGCATTGCTCGACACACAATCAGATACAACCTTTATTCTGGAGAAGACTTCAAAGGCCCTTGGACTTACAGGTAGACATGTGAAGCTCATGCTTTCTACTATGTATGCAGAGAACAAGGCCATAGATAGTTGTAAGATTGGAGGACTTGTCGTACGTGGCTTCAATAGTGAACACAGGATAACATTACCAGAGTCGTATACACGAGCTATCATGCCTGCCAACAGATCCCATATCCCGACACCGGAAGTTGCGAGAAGATGGCCTCATCTGGAAACTATTGCTGATGAACTTCTACCTCTGACAGATTGCGAAGTTGGATTACTTATTGGTTACAACTGTGTGAAGGCTTTGACGCCTAGAGATGTTATCGTTCCATCCGAAGACGGACCTTATGGTCAACGCACTGACTTGGGATGAAGTGAAGTAGGCATAATGGAGAATGACAGTTCAACGGAATGGGAAGAGGATCCCATAGGAATTAGTCATCGTGTTGTTGCGTGCGACGTGCCTACAGAATTGTGTACATCTGAAGCATCAAGGCAAGACCATGTTGTATTTTCTGTAAGGAACAAGATAAAGGAAGTAATCAACCCTGAAGACGTAGTTAGGATGCTTGAAGTGGATTTCAGTGAGAACTTTAGCAGTTCAAAACATGTTTCCTACGAAGACAGAAAATTTTTGGATATCATGGAAAAGGGGATTCATAAGTGTGATGGACATTATGAAATGCCATTGCCTTTCCGAGAAGCAATGCCATACCTGAGCAACAATAGAGACATGGTATTTCAGCGACTACAACATTTGCGAAAGCGACTTGAGAAAGATGCACAGTATAGCGAGCACTACGTTTCCTTTATGAGAGAGCTGATATCAAATGGTTTTGCCGAAAGAGTACGGAAGACGGAAATTGGTGTCGATAGTGGTCAGGAGTGGTACATCCCACACCATGGTGTATATCATCCGCAAAAACCAGGAAAGCTGCGTGTAGTCTTCGATTGCAGTGCAAGGTATATGGGGCAGTCATTAAATGACCATTTGCTGCAAGGACCTGACATGATGAATATGCTTTCTGGAGTTTTGTGTCGATTTCGCAAAGAGCCAGTGGCCTTTGTATGTGATATTGAGCAGATGTTTCATCAGTTCAAGGTGAATGTTGAACATAGAAATTACCTACGATTCTTGTGGTGGGATAATGGCAATTTCAGTAAGGATCCTACTACTTACCGGATGACTGTACATCTATTTGGAGCAGTGTCTTCTCCAGGATGCGCCAACTTTGGCTTGAGACAAGCTGCCACAGACGGAGAGCTTCAGTTTGGGTCTGATGTTGAGAACTTCATCAAACGAGACTTCTATGTTGACGACGGACTGAAGTCGGTAGCTACTCCAGAGGAAGCCATTAGCATCATAGAGAGAAGCAAAGAGTTGTGTAGCAGAAGTGGTTTGAAGTTACACAAGTTCCTCTCAAACTCAAAGGAAGTTTTGGAGAGCATTCCAGCTGAAGAAAGAGCAAAGGGACTAGCAGATATTGACATACACCATGACAAGCTTCCCATGGAAAGAACTTTAGGTATACAGTGGTGTATTCAGACAGACGCATTTCAGTTCAGGATTACCCTGAAGGACCGTCCTCTTACTAGACGAGGGGTTCTGTCGACCTTGAGTTCCGTATTTGACCCACTTGGATTCATGGCACCTTTCATCCTAGTTGGGAAACAAATCTTGCAGGAAATGTGTAGAAACCAGACAGATTGGGATAGCCCTCTTCCAGAGAACTTGAGGCCTAGATGGAGATGTTGGAGAAATGATCTTGAGCAGCTTGGTTCCTTAGAAATCAAGAGATGTCTGAAACCTGAGAAATTTGGAGATGTTGTTGTAGCGGAACTACACCATTTCTCAGATGCGAGCACTATCGGGTATGGCCAGTGCTCATATCTTCGTCTCATCGATGACAAGCAGCAAGTACACTGCTCTTTAGTTATGGCCAAGTCCAGAGTCACGCCACTCAAACCAGTAACAGTACCTCGTTTGGAACTTACTGCTACGCTCGTTTCAGTTAAGGTCAGCTCCCAACTTCTAGAAGAGCTTGAAATCAGCAATATTGTCGAATGGTTCTGGACAGATAGCACTGTTGTTCTTGGATACATTGCTAATGATTCTCGGCGATTTCATGTCTTTGTTGCCAACAGACTTCAACAGATTCGTGATCACACAGAACCATATCAGTGGAACTATATCAGTTCAGCAGAGAATCCAGCAGACATGGCATCACGTGGTGTTACAGCTGATGAGTTACGAAAGAGGAAGGAATGGTTCAGAGGACCCAAGTTTCTATGGGAGTCCAGTTTACCATTTACTGGTCAGCCTGTCAGCAAGCCAATTATATCCGACGATGACCCAGAGGTTAAGCGTTGCCAGGTGTTCGAGACAAAGGTGGAACCTACTGAATATGAATCATTGACAGACCATTTAGAACGTTTTTCTGATTGGACCCAGGCAAAGAGACTCATAGCAAACTGTTTTAAGTTCAAGTTATTACTTAAGAAGGACGCCTGTCAGAAGGGAACAGACGCAGTGCTTTGCAAGGAGCAAGGATTGCCAGTAGCATTATTAGAGAAAGCAGAATTGACTATTGTAAGATTAGTTCAGAAAGAGACTTTTAGTGAAGAATTGAAAATTCTTAACAGCACCAAGAAATGTGAGGAAGTTAACAGGAAGAAATCCGTTCGAAAGACATCCTCCCTTTACAGACTTGACCCATTTTTGGATGATAATGATGTTTTGCGAATCGGAGGTCGGTTGGGGAAGGGAGAATTTACGTCCTCTGTTAAACATCCAATCATTCTACCAAGGAAGTCACATGTTACAAGGCTTATCATCAGACACTTTCATGAACGCAGCAGACACCAAGGACGAAGTATTACCACGAATGAGATAAGATCAAATGGTTATTGGATTATTGGCTGCAGTTCTGCTGTGTATAGTGTCATTTCGAGATGTGTGAAATGTCGTAAACGTCGCAGCCAAACACAGGATCAGAAAATGAGTGACTTACCTGCTGACAGACTTGCAGCAGACGCACCCTTTACATACAGTGGTGTAGACTTTTTTGGACCATTCTACATCAAAGAAGGGAGAAGAGAGTTGAAGAGATATGGAGTTCTCTTTACATGTATGTCTTCGAGAGCCGTGCATCTAGAGACTGCAAACTCTCTCGACACTAGTTCATTTATCAATGCTCTGCGCAGATTTCTAGCGATACGTGGACCAGTAAGACAACCGAAATCAGATAGAGGCACAAACTTTGTCGGGGCTGAGAGAGAACTCAGAGAATCTTTGGAAGAATTAGATGATAGTCGTTTGAAGCAGTTTCTCACAGCTGACGGATATGATTATATCCATTTCAAATTGAACGTTCCATCAGCGAGTCATATGGGCGGAATTTGGGAAAGGCAGATCAGGACAGTTCGCAATGTGCTTTCTTCCCTTTTACAGGACTTTGGTGCGCAGTTAGACGATGAGGCTCTTAGAAATTTTTTCTGTGAGACTATGGCTATTGTCAACAGTCGCCCACTTACCATGTCGAACTTGCATGATCCATTCGCCCCTGAACCTATCACACCGAACCACCTTCTAAACATAAAATCTAAGGTTGTCTTACCACCGCCTGGTGAGTTCCAGAAGCCTGATTTGTATTGCCGTAAGAGGTGGCGCCGCATACAATACTTGGCCAATGAATTCTGGATACGTTGGAGAAAGGAATTTCTTCAGAACCTTCAAATGCGTACAAAGTGGTCAACGCCCAGACGAAATATCCAGACAGGAGATGTTGTGTTAGTGAAGGATGACAACTTACCAAGAAATCAATGGCATCTTGGTCGTGTAATAGAGACATATGCAAGTGAGGATGGGTTTGTCCGAAGTGTAAAGTTAGCTATCGGAGATAGCAGTTTGGACAGGAACGGCAAGAGGAACGGTCAACTTTCTACACTGGAGAGACCTGTTCATAAGTTAGTCTTGTTGCTGGAGAACGAGACCGGGGAAGACCCCACCGAGGAGCCATCGTAGGAACTTGTTTTTGTGTTTTTTGACACTAAAGGAATTATAGTACGTTAAGTTCAGATATGTATATATGTTAAAATTAGTTATTCACTAATTTGGGGAGCCATGTTACGCCCGCACATGCTACCCTAGTTGGAACTCTTTTGTACAATGAGGTCATCTTGTATCATTTGCGTTATTTTTATGTTCATGGCGGCAAGCACATGGTGCGACTAAGCCCTCACATCTTTGCGAGAATAAGGCACAAGGAGGTAAATAAGTTTATTTTGTATGTGTATTTTTGCATATTCGATCAGTAATTAATTTTCTATGTATTGAATCTGTGTAATTGTTATTGTTACAGTTTCACGGTGAAGTTTGGTATCTTGTGACACTGCGGCGGGAATACCCGTATTTTGCTTTGAATTAAACTTCATCAGTTAAAACCTAAGTAAACCTTATTTTATCTACGAGAGGGCCGGTCCATAACCGCACATCTCTGCCGTAACACTTCTCGTGGACATGGACACAAATACAAGTCAAAGAAAAGAATAGAAAATTATCTGTAGATCATTTGGAAAACCAGAAATTGAATTTAAGTATCATCACAGATGCACAGTCCATTATATCAGGTACATCAATCACCTTTGTATTGTATAATTTAGTTGAATGTGTATACGTGTATACTTGATAAATCTTTTCCACTGTAGATTGAAACCAAATTATAAGCAATATTTGCCAACAAAGCTCTAGATGTTGCTTCTAGATCTTGCGATACGATATATCCTGGTGAGCTTGAGATAAAAGATACCACAGAGTCCGACACTTCTGCTTCATATTTGGATATTTTACTTGAAAAAGACACTTATGGTAATCTAATAGCCAACTATATGATAAATGTGATGACTTTAAGCTTTCTATCGTCAACTTCGCTTACTTATGCAGGAATATACCTTCATCACCTGCATACGGAGTATATATATCTCAGTTGATTCGATACGCAAGAGCATGCTCTACGTATGAACAATTTCTGAAACGAGGTAAATTATTGACAAGCAAGATGATGAATCAAAAATATCAGCAGTCTCGTCTAAAGTCATCATTTCGTAAGTTCTATGGTCGATACAATGACCTTGTCAGCAAATACAATTAATCATTGAGTCAAATGCTGACTGTTGTTTTTACATATTGTTAGTCCATTATTTATACACCGATTTAACGACAGATTTTTTTCCATTATTTCCTGATCATGACAACGAGCACACGGCGGGTGTGACCGGTCGGCAGGGGACACTCACTCCTCCATGGCACCTGATCCCATGTGATATTTCGGAGGTACGTGTTTGCTCTGCTCTTATTTTGTATATTATTTAATGGACTTTGAGATTGAATATTGTTCGTTATCTCAATATCCTTCTTCTATAAATATGTGTTTAAAGTGTTAACTTTCAAGATTAGAAAGAAAAATTAAAATAACTTTGAAAACAATTTTAAAGGAAAGGGGGGGGGGGACTAACAGTAAAAACTAAGTACCAGAAATCAAGCAGAAACAAAATGAATTTAAATATAGCAACCAGTAAATCCTACAAATTCGGTTGCAATAAAATAATCTCCCAAAATAGAATTAAAAGAAATAAAATGAAGGATAAAGTGGAAATGAAAGGTTGGAAATTGCAATTCCTTGCACAGTAATGTTTTTTGATCATCTATTAATGAATATATCTTGGTTTTTAATAAACAAAGCAATAAAGAAATACAGTAAAACCTCATTTTCTTAAACTTTTGGGATCAGGAAAACTTTCAGTAGAGATATCAGATATTTGAGATGTAGGTAGACATGACCTTCCAGATCAGTTCAGGTTATTTAAGATAACAGTGTTCGAAATACCAAAGTTAAATTACAATTACTTCTAGATACCAATTAAAACTTATAGGACAGACAGCAGAATATAAATTGTAAATCGTAAATTGTAGTTGTAAATCAAATATATGGTCTTATTGGCGTTTTATGCAGAGACTTACTTTTACAATTGACGACTGACTTTTACAATTTTAACATTGACAAACTCCAATAACTAAATGTAAAAGTCAGCTGTCAAATGTAAAAGTAAGTTTCTTCATAAAACTCCATTTTTACTATTTGGTTGTATTTACACATAAGAAGTGACCCAATCAGGCAAGTTCCTTAAGTTCCTATCAAAGTATCTTACAGGATATTTATATGTTTCTTTGGAATTTTATTCAGACTGCTCAACCTTGATTGTGCATTTGGCTTAGATTTTAAAATGTTTGGGTTATTAAAGTTCCTCACAGGGTGCTTATATTTTGTAATTTTGTTCTTATTATGCGGATTTTAAAACTCAAGGATGTGCATTAGCCCTTGGGCTTGCATTTAAAACGCGTTTTACTTGGTTTTTTTTTTTAAATCAAAAAAGTATTAAAAAAGACCAAATAGATATTGAGAGCAGTACATGTTAATCTTATATTCAGGCTCATTGCATATCAAAGTATTTTTCATTTGGTGTCATTAATAATCACACATCTAAACCTTAAAGAATTTTAGACTTTGCTATGCATTTTGGGCTACACTGGAACAATGTAGTCATACAGAGCCGTAGAGCTCAGATGCACATATATGTATCATAGGCACTGATAACATTTATTGAAAGAATCTATGTAAGAAGGAAGGGACTTAGCGTCAATAAGCACGTAAATATGATTAGTCGAGCACACTAGCATTGCAAGCATCTGTAATAAAATTGCAGCCAAAAATCAGAGGTTGAAAATGACATCAACAAAGGGCCAAATATCTTCATAGCAGCTTAATAGGTAATTGGTAAGTATGATATTTAAGAAATAAGTATATCTCTGATTAACGTGACATAAAAGTGAGGACAGCTTGTCATTTTATTTCACACAAAAACCAGTAAACTCTTAGTCATATAGATTTTAGTATTAAATAAATATAAAATCTTAATATTTACTTTTCCAATGCCTTTCTCCCAGATAAAATTTCAAATAGTAAATGTATTTTACTTCCTCATCATTTAATTGGTTCATCAATAAGTGCGGTTAAAAAAAAATCATGTACAGGGCGGGACAAATTGCTAGACAGAAACAGGGCTTGTAGCACGTGGATTTGCCTGTAAATATGCCATGCAAGACAAAGCTGTTTTATGGATATCTTAGAGAGTGTAGATTATCTTTCATTCATATCCAGAGCTTTCTAAAAGATTTTGAAAAGGTAGAACTTTTACAAATCTTCAAGAAGATTATGAAAGGACTGGCAATTTCTCTTTTTTGCCTCATGTTATTATTTTTAAGACTAGAATTCAGCAATCTTTGAAGTACTTTGAAGGTTTGCATAAAAACTACAGCTACAATTTCGTCCATTCCCAGAGTCTCACCTAGCACATTGGCTCCAATACCATGGATCGCACCATAGCAAATCTGTATAAATACAACAATATCATAGATCATACAAGAGCAAATCTGTATAAAGTGTGTAAAAAAGACATCAAAGTCATAGATCATACCATAGCAAATATGTATCAAGATAACAATACCAAAGATCATACCATAGTAAATCTGTATAAAGTCAACAATACCATAGACCATACCATAGCATATCTGTATAGGGATAACAATACCATATATCATACCATAGCAAATATATATAAAGACAACATTTCCATAGATCATACCATAGCATATCTGTATAAAAACAACATTACCGTACCTCCTTGCACTCACATATTTCAAGGGAATTAAAGAGTGGGATGGGGCAAAATTCAATGGGAATTGGATGGAAACATGGCCCCCCTACCCAAATAAAAACTATATCTTTGAAATTACATTCTATTTTTGTAAGAAGTAGTACCAGTATTCTATTAGGGTGCATAATTTGTTTGCATGTAAAAATTAACGTAAAATTTTGACATTTAATTTTTAGTTAATTTACCGCAGGCCCTATGCCACATCATACTCTCTTTGAAATACCTTTTACATGTAAACACTCCTCCTCCTACAGTTTTGGGTCTTATTTCAATATAACTTGGCTCACAAGTACAGAAGATTATCTTCATATTAAGATGGATAATTCTGAATATTGGGTTTTTGATTCTGTTGAACTGTAGGTTGTGGTTACTAAGACAGAAATTTCTATGAACGCATTTTAAATGCTGCTCCTCGTACAAGTTCAGTCTGATTTCCACACAAGAAGAAAAGATTTAGATCCAAAATTCATTGTATCGTTTTTTTATTTCAACTAGCATTAACTGTTTTGTAGGATACAAGAAAATAAAAGAAATTTCTTTGAAATACTTTCAAGACTCTACTTCTTCTACATTTTTTTTTGTTCTAATTTCAAAATAACTTTTGAGTATACATGAAGTCTACACAAGATACATAATTTGTATAATGTTGTTTTTTTTTTTTTTTTTTTTTTTTTTTTCAATGAGCACTATTAAAGGTAACTTAAAAAATAGAAATTAAAGGTAACTGTAAATTTCTTTAGAATTCTTTTCCTCTAAATTTTAATATGATTGCAATCTTAACAAGAAAAATATATCAAGGATCATTGTCTTATTAAATCCTGTTGCAGTTTTCAAGTCCAAACAGCTAATTTTTCTCT